AATTTTTTAAACAGTTGGCAACCATGCTACATACACTAAGTTTAGAAAGCCTTTTTATATTTTTTGTTTTTTTTTTTTTTAACAGGTTGCAATCCTCATGGAATATCTCAGAAAATTATACATATTCAAACCAAAGATGTCTAAACACTCTTTCCTTTGACACTTGAACTTGTATATAATGTAATTAAATTTGATTTCTAGTGGCAACACTCTTCAGCACATTTTCAAACTACAACCATATTTGGATACATATTATTACTATTTTCTTCCCTAAATTCAATTAAATTTTGATTTTTAAAAATAGTTGGCAACCCAAAACCAAACCAAAGCCCCCTTGCTCTATTCCAATACTAAATAAAGACTACTATGATAACATAGAACTAAATTTTTTTTTGGCTTTTGGTACTGCTCCTCCAGGGACCTACCCAAAAACGCACAATGAATTTTATCCAAATCGGTCAAGCCGTTTATTAGTTCAGTGATATAAGAGTAGAATATACAGACAATTCTCTGAAATCGTGACTGCCCCGTTTTGTATGCTTTTTTTTTGGCAACAAATTAAAATTTTCAATTTCATTTTTCGTGCCAAAATTTTTCACACAGAAGCACAAGCACCTTTTACAGAATTGAAATTGGTTGAGGCGTTTGATCAGTCATCGCCGTCATACGAACAACATTTAATTTTTGTAGAATTGCCTATTTATATTGAGTGAATAGGCTTTCGAAAAACTTCTTCTTAAAACAAAAACCAAAGTGGTTGCAAGAGACTTTAATCAGCTCTGTCCTGGGGAAATTTATAATGGCAGCTCCTCTCAGATATTCGTTTACTTGTCGTAGAAAATTGTTTGACTGACTTTTTATATTTCTTCTGGTAACTTACAGGGTGTCATCCGCTTGATTGATGTGAATACTGGTTTTGTTCATGACACCCCTTTTTATAAAAAAGTAATAATTTGAAAGCAAAAAATAGTTTTTCCTGTTCATACAATCCGTAGCTGAGGCCAAGGTGAGGCAATAGTTTGATCGTCGATTGAAAGTCGTTAGGTACCAAAATATGTATCTACTTTCAAAAGAGAAGAATTCTCATCCCCAGTTTCGCCAATCAATTTTAAAATTTATCAGACTGTGTAAATTTAAAATGACGGATTTTCATTAAAATTTTTTAGCTTTCAATACTAATTGATAAATTTATAATATTTTTTTTACCCATTGTGTTATGTACATAGTTTCTTTATTGCATAGAAATGTAGCGGATACCATTGATATTCCCTTCGAGTTTGTTACCGAATACTATGTACTAACCCACATCACTCATACGCCACGTAAGCCTGGCCGTTATCAGCAAAGTTTGCAGTTGAAAATTTAAATAAATAATAAGATATGTATTACGTCTCGACTGTTTAATCCATTAATTCCTTTGAAAGATTTGTGTATTTTTATAATAACTAAGGCAACGTTTATTTGTTTACAACCATAAAAGGAGTGATGAAAACAGTAAAAAATTATATACGTATTCTAATGTAGAATGAATGCTGGAGAATTTAACTAAATTAAAATGTTCTCAATCCCACATTTAAAGTCTGTCAAAATTTTTTTAATTAACTCCCTGCTAAGTGTAGGTATGCTTAGTATATAATCCGTTAATCCCATTATAAACTTTTCAATTTATTTCTAGTTACGATATCTAAATTGCTTGAACAATGTTAATATTTTAAACACTTTGTCAATATTTTCAAAAATTAACCACCCAATTAAGTGAATGTGCTTTCAACTTAGTTCAAAGCATATTTCTGGGCGTTTGCCAACTGCATTTATTTGCAGTGCCTTTAACCAGGTTGAAGAGAAAAGCATTGAAAGGGATATACAAAATATAATATATATATATATATAAAGTACCATAGTTATCAAGCTTTGCTCAAGTTTTTTAAATCAAAAAGAGTTCAAGGTTTGGATATCCAAAATGGTAATTTCTGTAGCTTTAATTACCAATGCCTCTTTCCATGAGAAGTATCCCGATAAAAAAATATTATCAAAGCGTTAATATTTAAGCTTAATCTGTAACCCTGTATTCAGTGAAGCAAAATGAATATACTGTTAGGTGAGGTTGCCGCGGTCGTCTATAAGACACACTTATGCTAATGGGGCCTTGTGATTTCCACGCATCTAATTTCCTCGAAAAATTATCCACCCAGAGCGGAGAGTCTTCTTCTTCTGGATAGAGCAAGGCACTGGCACACCAGTTGCAGAAACGTTTCTTCCTATTCATAAAATGCACCACTTTTTTCATTTGGTTCACAAATAGCGCAACGTTAATAACCCTGCAGCAAAATTTAAAAACAGTCTGGCAAAGTGCTAGTTCCGCCCTACAAATTCCTGAACTGTCTCAGAGCTACTGCAAAAGGGATGCAGAGCTGGACGGTTGGAACTCATATGTTGCTAGTTGCGCTGTCATCAATGTTACTCATCCTGGTAATGCGAAAGCTGAGAAAAGATGCACAAATATACTAAACTATATTTTTTCGATTTTCTGAGGCCCTAAAGCTAATAGCAAACTGTTTTCGTTTATTTAATATGTAATTTTCTAGTTTATGGGGCAACTGCTAAAATATTTCCAAAAAAGTCGATATTGGTAACATTAATATAATTTTTATGTATATATGTATGTACGTATAAAATTGTATGCAAATTTTAACCATAAAATTTAGTTAAGCTACACTTAACAACAAAAGTCTGCGTACACCATTTCTTTTTTAAATATTCACAGTATATTGAGAGTTAAAATTTGTTTGTTATTATTTTATAAAAAGAATTGACCATGCTAAAAACAAAATCATTTAAACCGTGTTTTCGAACTTATAAAAAACAGTGCAAAATTTAACGATTTGATAAAAATTTTCGAGCTTTAAAAAGATAAACAAAAGTGTGTAGTAATGCAGTACCTTTTTTAATTTCCAATGTTTTACATTTTAAATATTTTTCGTTAAGTATGTCACATATTCCATAAACCATTTAAATTCAAGTTCCCAACTTTGCTGCAAATTCGATAGAACTCTAAAACTGTCTTCGAATTTAACACTTTTTAATCAGAGTTTTTTTTTTATAAATATACTATACTATACTTCTTAGAACCAGCTCAAAACTAACCACATTTGTTCTAGCCCGGAGATGACCCTTTTTGATTTATCTAAGAACTGTTGTTGTATGAACTGTCTCAGAACCATCTAAGCCAGAGTCAGCTTAGAACAAGTTCAAAAGCTCTGCAGAGGGCGACAATTGTTACTTCGTAGGGCAGTTGAAATCATTGAGTTGGGATAGATGAAGAACCAGTACCGTCCCTTTTCAGGATAGCTCAGCGTAAGTTCGAAACCAATTTGATTTGCTTCAGGCAAATGTCATCGAAATTATGCAGCCGACATGCTGTGAGCAATTGACAGTGCTCCAAAGAATTCACTGAAAAATGAATATTGAATACACCACACAGTAGCTTTGGTTTTTTACAGATAGGCGCATTCACCCAAGGTAGTGTTAGCCGTATATAGGTAAAAATGTACACTAACAAACTATAAAAAAACACATAATTTTGAGGTTATGCTCTCTTTTTCTTCTTAGTTGGCACTGTAACCGCTTAAGCGATTTTGGCCGAGTTCAACAAAGAACGCCAGTCGTTTCTTCTGCACCAACTGATGCCAATTGGAAATGCCAAGTGCAGCCAAGTCCTTATCCACCTGCTCTTTTCATCTCAGTGGAGACCTCCCTCTTCTTCTGCTACCACCTGCGGGTTTTGAGTTGAATACTTTCAGAGCTGGAGCGTCGGTGTCCATTCAAACGGTCTACGTTGTAAAGCTCATACAGCCCATTGTTCCATCGTCTGCGGTACTCGCCGTTGCCAAAGTGACGTGGATGCCAAGGCACAAATGTGCTGACTGGTTGTTTGATGACAGGAAACTCTTCGTCTTGTTCTCGCTTACCACCAGACCCATTCGCTTTGCTTCCTTATCCAACTTGGAAAAGGCAGAACAGACTTCGCGGTTTTTGTTAGTAAATTATTCCTGAGCGGTTCAGTTCTGCAGCTCTTATTATCTTCTTCAATATCAGATTAAAGAAGTCACATGAAAGGGAGTAGCCCTGTCTGAAACCCCGTTTGATGGCGTACGGCTCGGAGAGGTCGTTCCCAATTCTGACGGAGCTGGGGGTATTGCTCAACGTCATTTTACACAGCCGTATCAGTTTGGCGGGTATGGCAAAATCATATATAGCGGCGTATAGGCTACTTTTAGTGCTCTTGAAAGCGGCTGAGTGTCGATCCTTTTTCTCGTGGGTCTTAACTTCTTAAGTGAGTTCGGAGATTTAACGCGTTAAATATTTAACGCCACGATTGTTCATGTCATCAAATCTATATGGTTCGTTTGATTTTAAAATGAGGTGCCAAATGAAAGGCCTTTGCTTTTACGTGGTTTAAATGTTTTGCAAAGGGTTACCAGAAGTTAGCAATTGAAATTTCAGTAATCGAGCTCAGAGATATTTGCGTTTAATTTCGTGAAAACGGCAGTATAAATATGTATCAATTTTGTTAAGAAATAACGTGGGACGTAAATCATTGTCGTCTTGAAATAAACGTCCCGCGAGACGAGAAAAATATAAGTCCCATATAATTATTATGAAAAGACATAAATAATTTCCATCTGAAAATAATCGTCTCGCGAGACGAAAAAAGGTATTTCTCGTAGATACTGTAAGGATAATAACTATATATATACGAGAAGTGCTCATTTAAAGTAATAAGATATGTACTAAATAATTGTCCTTTTGTACAAATGTGTATATTATGCTGCTGTACTTACGTTTAGTATGAATCGGGAATGATTACTTATGAAAATTTCCATGATCATTGACATTGACTACTTTAGTTAAAATTTAGTAGATATGTAAAGAACCCATTCCCAATACATGCATACATATACTTTAGTATGCATACATATTGGCATAAATATTTTTTTCTTTATTATATTTTACTTTTATTTACTTTCTTACATTTTACTTTATTCACAAAATTACAAAGTTTAGAAACCATTAGCAAAATATGTTCTTAGAGGTAAACGGAAACTTTAAGAGTACATAGTGGTTTTTGTATGGATTGCTGCTAAGAAGCGGTACAGCTGCTATTCAAAGTTTCTTGAGTGGCGTAGAAATGCAACAACAAACAACAAACACTGCGGTCAAATATGCATACGTACATATATGCATGTACAATTCTGTTTGTATGTATGCACAAATAGTAATTGAACAATAACAATAACAAAAAACAACACAAAAACAGCAGCAATGGTAGAACAAATACAGGGTGTCATTACCATTAAGCAAGTTGTCGGTAAATTTTTAGTATTTTTCTTTTTCAGATATGTTTTATGACATTTTCTACATTTTCATTCATTATATTTCACCTTTTTTTCTCAATAAATATTTTTGCGCTACAAAAGCAGGTTAAAGCGTCGACGTTGATATTCCCTAAATGTGTGTGTGTGTGTGTGTGTGTGTGTGTGTGTCTTCCTGTTTGTATATTTTCGAGTGTTCCTTTACTAAAATTGAGCCTTAAGAAATACACGAGCAGCTGGTATTTAGGCGACTTCTCCCACTACTCCTTCGTGTGTGAGTGTGTGTGCGTCTTGTTATGTTGGCATGTGTACTACTTTAGCACTCCGCCGCCTTCCTTTAGCTAGCTGTTCCAGCATTATTGAGCACCCAAGTCATCGTATTTCTTGAAGATGATGTCGTACACAATGTCGAGCAGTTTGTTCCAGGCTTGCGCTTGACGCTCATTCAGGTTGCACGCTTCGCTCAACACTTCCACAATGGCTTCGCGGAGTTCCTGTTTACGAGAGAGAGTGGTTGTTGAATTGGTGAAAAACTCAAATGAGAAAGTGTTCTAAAATAGTTTTTTCTTAATGTGGTTTTTGGAATTTGTTTTTCATTTCAAATCTTATTTGTAAGAAGTAATATTTATCGAAAAGTTGTTTAATAAAAAATATCTAAATTATACAAATATATACATTTTTTTAATTACGGTGGAGAATTTGCTAATTTTTATTCCGTAATATTACTAGTTGATTTTAAAATACTAAATATGTATTTAAAAACTTCATCAAAAAAGGATCCTCAAAACTTTTGCAATTTCTTTTCTCTATTAGAAATTTTTAGTACTCATCATTTACTTAAAGTTGGTTTTTACCTTAACTACTTAATTTTTGGGTTTGGTACTAAAACTTTATTGCATTATTTGTGAATTTTTTAACTAAACTAATTTGCTTTTCGGTATTTTTTTTTTGTTTAAATATTAAATTGCAAAATTTGAATTTGAAAAATTCATGCATGAAAAATTTGTTGTTAAAAAATTTAATTTTTGTTGTAAAAAATCCTTAAATTTTTAGTTAATTAATAAATTTAAAAAACTTAATTCAAACTTATGCACATGTGCCCACCACTTTTACCACCGCTTAAAAAAATTAGGTAGAATTTTGTAAACTATTAAAAAAATTAATTTTATTTTTAAAATATAGTTCACAACTTAACAAAAACTATCTAGAAAAGTTTAAAACTTTGTAAAAATTTTAGAAAAACAAACAATTGTCATCAAAACTTCAAACTTTTCAAATACATTTGTAAAAAAATTTTGGGTAAGCTTTTTAATAGCTTATTTAAATTTAGTAAATTTTGTGCAAAGTTTGAAGCTTACATCTATACAGCTTCTGTTGAAGTTTAAACTATTTTGAAACAAATTTGAATAATCTACAAAATTTTTAAAAATGTGGGAAAGTTTGGGTGACACAAGTGTACATTTATAGTTTGTATTTTTTTTTCACTAACAAAGTATTAAGGCTTAGCAATATTTCCAGCTTTTTAAATAAATTTTTTTGTTGCGAAAATCCTTAAACTTTTAGACGGTTAATAAACCTTTAATTTTGGGAATTAAGTAAACTACATTTAAATAGTTTTTTCTTTACAAAAACTTTTACATATATTGTAGTTTTGTTTTCACTTACAAGGTATGAAGGCTTGGCAATATTGTGACGTTCCACATGTGATTTTGCCAAACCTTCCCATATTTCTTGTATCTTTTCCAGACCACCTTCTTCCTCCAGTTGGCTGATTGACTGATCAAAAGTCTTGATAATGCGGCCACAGTGGGCGCGGAAGCGTGCGCTGTTCTAAAAAAGTGAACCGGAAGTATAAGCATTGACCTTTTTTTTTTATATAAAAAAATGTTATATATTTAATAGTTTTTATCAAAACCAAATGCATAAGATAAACTTTCGTTTAATTTAAAAATTTTCTGTTTATATTTTATAAAAAATTAAAACAATTCCAAAACTGAACGAAATGAATTAGGTAAGCTTCAACGAAAGAAAAATTTAAATTTTAATAATAAAATAAAAATATATTTATTATTTTTTTTAAATAGATAAAAATTTAATTTTAAATAAACTCAATTTTTCTCTAAAATTTTTGAAAAATATTATGAAATATGTAATTTATGAAAAAACCATTAAATTTATTTAAGGTTTTTAATACGGTTTTAATAAGCTGCAGATTTTTGCTTTGAAATTCAAAACTAAAACTATTAATTTCAATTATTGGAAAAATTTATTTATATAGATCTATAGCTTTTCTTATCATAGAAAATATATTTCCACGCTCCAAAATGTATGTCATTAAAATTGATTCAAAATATATATTCTCTTTCTCTGTATACACTCCATTTTTCATTTCGGCCCTAATATTTTTTTTTTCAAATTTCAAAATATTGTTTTAAGCAAAAACGTCATAGAAAAGAAAATTACAATTTCATCAGCAATTTAAGAGAATGCTTTCCCTTTGTTCAAATTCATATTAATATAATATAAGTTTTCACTTAATTTCCTTTGTGAAACTGGCTAATTGAAATTTTTAAAATTTCTGTACTCACATGTAATTCCGTCACTGGAATATCGCGGAAAGGAAATTTTTCCAAATTGGACGGATATTTTGTGAAGAATCTGATGAGAATCGCTGCGCCGGAATCGGTTGGTGTGGCGACGGGAATGGCCCAGGTCTTCTTGATTTCAACAATATCCTCAGCATTCAGTGCCATTTTTGTTTATAAATTAAGTTGTTGTTCTTTTCGTACTCAAGCCAAAATTATTGGATAACCTAAAGCATTTGCTCCTTTCTAACAGCTTCTGAAATGAAATGATGAGAAAGAAGGTTAATGGCCTTCTTCTTCTTCTTCTTCTTAAAATAAAATATAGCAGGTTTAAAGAGCTTTATAAATTGACGTTTTCATACATTTTTTAATTTATAAACCTTTTATAAAGCTACTTTATTTTTTATGAATAAGGCCATAATTTTATACTCATGTAACAATTTTTAGTTACTAAAGTTTAAATATCAAATTGAATTATTTTTGGGATAGTACTACACCCAGGGTTCTTATTTAATTATAATTGTTTATTGGTTTTTTTTTGATACCCCAGCGCACTTCTGCATAAGGGTATCATAACTTTGTTCACATAACGGTTTTGTTTGTTTGTTTGTAACAGGCAAAAGGAATCGAGATAGATATAGAAAAATGCATACATAACGGATCATAATGAAAAGAGAAGTCGATTAAGCCATGTCTATCTGTCCGTCCGTTTGTCCGTGTACATGATAACTCGAACAAACAATTGAGATATTTCAACGAAATTTTGTAAGTAGATTGCCCTTTACCCAGGGTAGGTCGGCATTGAAAATGGGCGAAATCGGATCGTAGCCACGCCCACTTCCCATATAACGGTAGTTTTCAGAATTACGAAAACTGCGATATTTTAGTAAATGCTGAAGATTATTTACTCAAAATTGATATTTGCAATAACCTTTAGACGAAAAAAAGAATATTATAAATTTTTGGAAAATGGGCGTAGCCATGCCCACTTAGTACATGTGTATATCTTGGTAACCGCTCCACCGACAACACCAAACGGCTAAAATTTTTTAAAATCGGTCAACAACCACGCCCACATCCAATATAACGGCAATTTAGAGAAATACGAAATCTTCAATAAATCAGTGCCTACAGAAGTTTATTTATTTAAAATTGATGATTGCAATAACTCTTTAGCAAAAACACGTTTATGATAAAATTTTGGGAAATGGGCGTGGCACCGCCCACTTATTACCAGGTTTGTATATCTCGGTAAACGTTCGATCAATTTTTGCCAAACTTTTTACGATTATTATGATTGCCACATAAAAGCAAAACGGTGAAAATTATTGAAATCGGACTAAATAACTCCCACTTTTCATATAACGGTAAATTTCAGAAATTCTTGAAACTTCAATATTTCGAAATTTAAGGACGCTAATTTACTCCAAATTGATACTAACAACAATCGCTTCAAAATAAGTAACATAATTGTAGAATTTTGAAAAGTGGGCGTGATACCGCCCACATCTAACTAAATAAGTTTATCTCATTAAATATAACTGATCATCAGGGACGGATTTTCAGCATCTAAAAACCTATAAAAAAGGCAAAATAAAATAACGAAATAGGCAGCAAAAGGCACTAGAAATAGCAAAAAAGCCAAAAGAAGGCACTAAAAAAGACGGAAACTTAAAAATAACACTGGTTTACAGGAAAAATGTTCTACGGACGCCTCTACATATCCAATTCCAATTTAGAATTTTTTGCTGATTCCGAAAATCGAGTTAATTTTTTAATCTCTGGATAAATATTCGATATTTTTTCAGGTGTACATGGCGTATAAGTAACATTCTTTCCTGCTCATTTTTTATACAAAAATTCGTTGTGCATTTTCATATAACGTTTCTTATTACTTCTTTATTTATCCGTCGATTTTCTTCACACTTGATTTTTTTGTAACAGAACAGGCTTTAACACAGCTTTGAATGTACTAAACGTGCGCTCGAAGTGAGTTGATACAAGTGGCGCCCAACTTAAATAAGAGCTTCCTCCTAACTATAATCACTTTTTAAAGGTACAATAGGCAAAAAAGGTAAATATAAATTGTGATAAAGCTAAATCGTGGACATTCCTAATCGAATATGCACTATCTCTTTTGCAGAAAAAAGACAATTTCCATAAAATCCGTTCCCTTCTGATCATGCCATCGATATTGTTAGGAATAGGGATAAAACCTTTCTTCTTACCATTCAACGGTAGTTTTCGGAAAGGTGAAAAACTATATATTTAACACTTGCGCCGGGTATTTAATGTTCGGCTGCACCCGAACTTAGACTTTTGACTTATTTTTAGTTTACTTGTCTAGTCATTAATATTGTTATGCGCATACAAAAGTCTGGTTATAGAGTTGAAAATGAAAATTTCTACGTTCACACGAAAATAGGCAAAAAGTCAGAAAGTTCGACTCGATATACATTAGAGTGGTTCAAAAGTTTTTTTTTTTTGGAAATTCATAAACGCTACCCCAAATTATTGTTATTTTTTATTTATTATTGTTAGTTTTTATTTTGAAAAAAAAAGTTTTCTTACACGTCGCGCTGGTTGGTTTTTTACAAAACCGCTGATCTTGTCAATCTTTTTATTTTGTCATGTTAAAATACAGTTAAAAATGTGGTTTTTACATATAATTCCTCTCGTATTATTGGAAAACATTCCCTTAATTACAAACCTGTCTTGGGCAGTTAGAGAAAATATGCTCTCGAAAAGAGACTAGTAAAATTAAAACTTCTCTGAAGTCAGTTTTTCAAAATTCAAAATGGCGGATCCAAATGGCGATCCAAGATTTCATTTATCTTAATGTTATTTAATTTAAGTTTTTATTTGTTTATAAAAATATTGTTTATATTTTAACAAAAACCATATAAATCTAAGTTGCAATCTTTGTGTAAAATTTAAAAAGAAATCAATAAACTAACGTTAAAATTTCGAGCTTTTTAAATCGATTTTTTAGAAATATTTTGAGTACGCCCATTAAATTTTAGTGCAAGTTTAAAATAGCTCGGAATTACCATTGATTTTTGGGAGGTTTTTTTTTGGTTCAAGGTGTTGCTCATTTTTACCATATAAAAAACATCGTCGAAAATGCTTCGTATGAATGCAAATGACTGACATCGTCAACAAAAAAAAAATCCAATAATCAACGGTAAGTCTCCGTTACTTTAAACTTGCACTTTATAGTGAAATCTAAACTGCATACCTGCAAAGCAAACGAGAGTATAAAAGCTGTAAAGCCGCTTTCAGATTATGGTTTATTTGCAAAAATAAAAAATGGCCGAATGAATTTTTTTATATGGCATGCTTATCCTTAAGTTACAGACATTCAAAGTCCTTTAGAATAGTTTACTGTGTTGCAATATACCTCTAAATATTATGTACTGCAGTATAATCAACATTAAAATGTGTTTTGTAAATAAGCCATTAGTTGTCAATGCCACAGTTTGCACAACAAATCCAGAATAATAACAACACTTGTGCCATTATGGCCATCATTTTTATTCTTTCATTACAAGTATTTTTTTTTTACTGAGAAGAAAGCACTGGAATATCAAAAAAAAAATGCTGCTCTTAATGCCGCCAAGATGAGCAAGCTGCTGCTAGTTGACGGTTAGATGCTTCGTAAGTCGCTAGAGTGTTCATAAATGGCATGCGAATTAGAACTCGGTCACAAGCGGCATGCATCTCACCGCGAGCAACTGACTAACTGATGCCATTCGATTCGTTGGTTAGTTACTTGTTGTGGCGAACAGCAGGTGGTTGAGAGTAGCAATCAACTTGTTGAGGGCCACTCCGAAGGATACAGAGAATATACATATGTAGTTAATAATCGACACTATGAGAGGGCGGCGAGTAGAATGGGAAATAGGGAGATTGATGTTGGCATTTAGCTGTTTGATTGTAAAATGAGTAAATATGTACACATCTAAATAAATATTTGTATACTAATAAATATTTGCGAATGTTACGTATACGACAGGTAGTACGATTAAGTGATTGTCACTGACGGTGTAATAAAGTGGCATGGAAAAGAAATGCCTAGTTGAGTGATTTAAGCGAAGTTAATTGATAGTGTCGCTGTATTATAAAAGCTAGATGATAAGAAGGCGACAGAATTCGTTTAATTGAGAAACGTTGTTCGAAATAGTGAAAATAGTAATATTTATAGTAATAGTTTAATTGATAAGATAAATTAAATATCGCAATATGGGTATCGAATTAAAGAGGTTTAGGAAAGTTTACTTCCGAATACATTTTGAGGGGACTGCCACCCGTTTGAAACATATTTTTTTCAATTAAATTTATAAAATAAAGCGAAAATTACAATGCAGGTATCAAACTAAAGAGGTTTTAGAAATTTTGAGTATTGAAAATATTTTTGAAACGGGTTGCTACAAATTTGAAAAATTTAATTCAGTTAAAACGATAAGATAAGCTAAATATTACAATATAGGTATCAAGCGGAAGTATTTGAGAAAATCTTTGATTTAGACCGCGCGTGCTTCGAAGCGTATTTTTGTTTTATTATCCCCCCTCGCTATATGTAAAACTATTAGCTAATACTGTATTATTTGCAAAGTTGGCAGATTTTTTTTTTAATTACAAAACAAATTGGATATTCGTTTTTTATGGAAGATAAAATGAATGGGCTATAAAACTGCATAAATCTCTCATTTGAAAGTTACAAATTAGTACGCAAATTTATTTTTACATTTTCTGAGTTTTGCACACAGTTTAGAGATTTTAGTTTTATGTTTTTTGTTATATTAGCAACTATAATTTTATAAAAAAAAGGTGAAAATAAATTAGAATAAAAAACTTTACATGCATTGCGAAAAATTCTCTGCGCCAATACTTTTGTCCGGCGTTGTATGTGCTAGGTAACTAACACCTACATTCATAAAAAATATATAATGCTTCGAAAATTTTATTGAAAATCTCACTTCATAAAGCTCCTTGAATCTATTTTATTTCTTATGGATGAGACCATAACAGATTTGGGAGGGAGTAAAACCACAAAAATACTTTTAAGGCACAGCGACGCATTTTAGTCGCTAGTTAAAGCAATAAATGGGTATTATCAATCAAAAAAAAAAAAACTGACATTAAATTTTGCAAACATATACCCTCAGTAATTTATTAAAATAGTTTTTGTCCTACAAAAACAAATTCATATATAGTCGTAAATATTTTTCTTTGATTTCTTTCCAATATTCAAAA